CCTCTCTGCTGCCAGACATTCTGTTTACGACTAATATCATGTACTAGTTATGTCAATATAAGTAGCACACACCATAGTATTAGCTTCTACTGAACAACTTGTATCTATTGTATGTATTCTTATGATGATACTTCTGGTTAGTTTAAATCATTCACAACCAAACTGTTTGACATATGTTCTGTCAGTCTTTTAGTACAGTTCTCTCAACATACTTGCTTACACAGGTACAGTTCAATAAGTAAATACATTTGGAAGTAACTACAGAAGATCTCTTATCAAAGTGAAATTTTTTAAGTAATATTTCACTAATTTTTCAATCCAATAACACACCTCTTAACCCATGATTTTTCGAATTTATTCAATAACTAGTGACTAAACTACTGTTGAATGTTGTTTTCTTCAAGGAAGGATAAAGCGATGAAGTACAATCAATTCAAATCAAACTAAATTAATAGAGCAGAGCTTTTTTATTCTTTTTGTCTAATAGTTCTTACATTGGTCTCAGTTACAAAGTTAAAATATTAATTCAATATGTAATTAATTAAATAATATTTGAGTTATTTATTTGATTTGATAATTGTGTAAATTATGATCGATCGCGTGAACAATGACCTAAAATGAACGAACTCAGGTGATTTAACTGGTTCTTTTGTTTGGTTCAGTTTGTTTAAATAAATCAATTCGACCTATTTGAATCAAATATAAAATTGGACAAATTAGATTAAAACAAACCTTAATAAAATATAACCGGATCATAATTAAATCATATTAGATCTGAAAAGAAATGTCTCGTAAGATAAAGTATATATATATATATATATATATATATATGTTCGAAAGTTAGTGGTATAGTGGAATTAGTAGTTGAAAGAGAAACGACGTAACGTTTTAAGCTAATGGTCAAGTGAAGGAAGACTTGGTGCAAAATAACCATTTCATTGTTTAGTACAAAATTACAGAATGCTTTCATAAAATACGAAAACCATACATTGAATACTTCATTCACACATCTTCCATCAATTGTCTCTTACAAAATTCATCGTCCCTTCATTCCAATTATTATTATTACAATTACTTCATGTTTACATCCCTGTTCTCTTCAATTCGATTTTCTCAATCTTCTGTTGCCAGACATCCCACTTCTGATTGATGTTACATACTGTTTATATCTGTCGACATAAGTAACATACACTACGACGTTACTGGGTTCGAGTTGGTGGAGTGTGTGGGTGGGTGAACATCAATTCAGGTGCAGATAAATCCAGCTGACGAATTCACCATAATCACATTTCTTGTACTCACTCATATTACCATGTCTCTGTTGCTTATTCCGTTTTGTCTAGAAATCACATTAACATGAATATGGTAAGCGACTATAATTGTTTATTTTTTATTAATAAGCTAAAATTTATATGAATGTTTCACACAGACGCCAGATTTGTTAAACATTTTACTGAATCATCCAAGTTAGTGCATAATCAGAAATATTGAGACTACATGAAATGATTAGAAGAATTCACTTCATCTATCAAACAAACTTATATGAAACAAGTGATTGACTTAAAATGTTATTTATCAAAACAGTTTAGAAAGAACACTTGTTTCAATTCATATGGAAATGATTATTTTAAAATATTCTATTCAATTATCCGAAATATACATTAAAACAATTGTATATTGCGATGTATTATCATTATCACAGGATTACTACTGACCAGTTACTCAATGAACTCCTTGAAATTCTTTACTCCAAAGTTGTGAATTATGGAAGTAATCAAGTCATTGGTTATATAATAACATAGTCAATAGAATTCGTTAGGCACTTAAGGACTGTTAGAACATGAATTCGATTACTACTAAGTGACCAATTAATTGTAAATATCTCAATCCTACGTCACGAAGAAAAAAATCCTCCGAACACTCAGGGAATTGCTCTGATGCTGTTCAAAGAAGCACGAAATGGGTGTTGACGATTTTCTCATGTACACCATAATGTTGAAGAAGTTTCCATGAGGTTCTTATATCCACTGTCGAATGCTTTCCCATAATCAACGAAGTTGATGTATAGTGACAGATTTCATTCACTTGCTCAACAATGATCCGTAGTGTTACAGTTTGGTCCATGCATGATCGTAACTTACGGAATCCAGCTTGTCGATTTGAACTTTGGGCGTCTACTGAGTCTTTTATCTGGTTCAGATTATGATAGACTTGTCAGCTGGATTTACCCGGACAACCATAGTTTGCTTGGAGTTGGCGATGATAATATATATCTACTCCAAAAACACTACCACAAACGTCTGGGCAATTAGTACACACTTATAAACAGTCGACTACAGACGGTTAATGAATTCCTGAAGCTGTCAAGTGGACATTTTATTTTTATGTCAGTTCTTCCAAAAAAACACGCGACCATTGATCAATTCTATTCAAATAACACATACGGGTGAAAAATATTTCACTTCCTTCCAGTGATTTGTTAACTGATATGAACCAAGTGCTAATGGTATTATTAACAATACAGTAATTTCGTTTTCTCACTATCATAGTCAGAATCTCAAATGCGAATGTCAAAACAGTTCTGTGGTACGGAGCTGAAACTTACAGAACTACCACAACCATCATCCAAACAGTACAAGTATTTATAAACAACTGTCCACTCAATTTCCGTTGACCGGATACCATGAGCAACAGCTTACTATGGGATAGGACTAACCAGCTTCCATATGAAGAGGAAATTAGTAGAGGATGCTGTGAGTGAATAAGACTTATATTACGAAAATCATCAATCAAACTACATCATGATGCGAACCTTAATTTGGAATCCTGAAGGGAAACGGAAAAGAGGAAGACCAAAGAACCAAGTGTATCTAGAATGGGAAATAGACATGAAAAGGATGAATAGAAGCTGGAAAGAACTGGAAAGGATTTCTCAGGATTGAGTTGAATGCCTATGCTTCTCGACGAGTGGGTGAAAGGCGTAAGTAAGTAATCTGAGTGCTACAGGAGATCATTATTGGCTTGAATAGCTCATTGATAACGTCTGAGGCTGTTAAGCTGGATGATACCTTATTGAGCCTGTTATGGAACATTTGATCCCTAAAGATTACACGTGAGCCTTACTGACCGGTGCCAACTAGTATGGTACCTAAATCCGAAGATTCCTGCTGACTTCCTTCAAAGGCCCAACACAATAAATGTCGATGACTTGAGATGAGGACCACGCTATGTAACAAAGGAACCAGAGCTTTGAATTTTATTCATTGAATCTCTACTTAGCAGCTTACATTTGCCATGTCTGCCATAAGAACTGGAGGTTCCGGGTGTACTCTTGAATGGAATAACGTTAATTCTATCTTGGGTGTCAAATCAAATCCAAACACCTATTTTATCATATCATGTTCTTTATCTGATGAAACTTATCACTCAGATATGTTTGATTATCTTTTTAAAGATATAGTTCTAAGCAAAACTTAGAACATATAAATTTATCTTTCAAACTGGGCTTATTTACACAAAAAATGTGAACAATTAGATTGGAATATTTTCTTAGTTAAAAGTTATACTACTATCAAGTAGCTTAAAACATCCCTAAAAAACGTATTCTCGAGTAATCACAGCAGACTATAATATATATATATATATATATATATATATATATATATATATATATATACCTTATGAACAATTAACCTTATTCAAATATTTTGTCGAAAATTGACCTTGTAAGTGAGTATCGTCATACGCAAATTCACCCTGACTATATTCCGAAGGCAGCTATCATCTCCCATTTCAGCATTAAAAACGCAGAGAAAACATTCCAGCAGTTTGTCAATCAGGTTCTGCTGGGTTCATCGTTTGTATACACATATAAGGAATCGCTGCTAATGGCTAGTAAGGACGAGACAGAGTCTAACTCATTTAAAAAGACTATTTGAAAAGCTGAATGAATACGGCTAAGCAACTAGTCTGGCAAAATGTGAACTCGGAAAGTGGTTTCTCATTTTCTCGGTTCATATACTTAAGAATCAAGATATCATGAAAACTTACCCTTCAGTAGATTAATTTTAAAAATCACATCTTTTCAGGACCCGTTAAATTCTGTCCTCGATCCATCCGTATTTATGTTGCTATTCTTCAATTGTTGGTAGATAGTCTACAAAACTGTTCACAAACATCTCACCCCAAGTCACACAATCATTTAAAAGCAAGAAAGATACGCTTAATAAACAATCATTTTTGTATATTAATAATAACAATAAATTTATACATTTTCGGTTTTAAAATGAAATAATTCTGTACAAAGTAGCTATAATGTGTATGCGGAAAAGAGGTATACAAAAGAGGAGGTAAGATTATGAGTTAACGATCAATGGGTCAAAGACTAATGAATATATCTCATAAATTAAAACAATAAATATATTCCAGAAATTAGTCATCATTATAAATAATACATAAATATTTTGTTAGAATTCTTTCAGTATCAGTTGTAGATTACTAAGACTTAGTTTATCAGTAGTATCCAAGATGATCCGTGCAAAAGTAAATATATTTACAACTTTTTAGATAAGAGACATAATTACATTTTTTTAAAATAATTAGATGCAACACGTCGTTTTTAATAGTAGGCAGTCATCTACTAATGATTGGTAGTACACAAAACACATATAACACACAATAGTAAAACAAACAAAATGAAAATTAACAAAACTAAAGCCAAGAAATCAAATCAAAGGAGACAACACAATAAAAAGGTCAAATACTACAAACAAATATATATAAGGAGCATTAATGAGAGAGAAATATATCATTAAAAATAATTTATAACTGTATTGATGGGAGACAGCGTTGTTGTTGTTGTTGTTGTTGTTATAACTATGGATGTCAATATTAATAAGCGATTGATGAATGACATATATAGACAATTATTTAAATGAATTCTGAAGTTCAATATTCACTATAAATTACGATTCACTTTTGTATTTCTTTGTACTTCTTTATCAATTATTATTATTATTATTACTATTATTATTATTATCATCTAAGATATCATCTCGTGCATAATATAAATCAAGACAATTCACTCCATGAAATTGATCACGACTAATTTCTTCAATGGACATATGGGAATCTAATAATTGATAAGTATTTGTACTTTCATGATAACTGTATAAGATGAATCGAACACTTTCATCTTAATCAAAAAAAAGAATGAATAGAAATTAAACAAATTAACAAAACAGAAACGATAAATATTCATTGAGATTATAGATAATTCAATGTAATGTGATCATATGAAACTAAAACTCAATAGGATTATGGTATAAGAATTTTGATGAACAAATATATAAAAAGAAATATTTATTAACATATGCTCACTAGTGACTGGCTTCAAGAGGTATTTCCTAGAGTTTCAGTGAGAAGCAGTGACTAATGCAGTCCAATCAGGTCGGTTGTGAGATAGTAACTCACTGATGACAATGGTGGATGGGTCGCTCAATTTCGTGGATTGGATGAAGTTGGACATTAACACCGTTAGATGACGGTCGGCTCAGTAGTTTAGTGGTTAAGCGCTCACGCGCGAGACTGATAGGTCCTGGGTTCGAATCTCGCGAGGCGGGATCGTGGATGCGCATTGCTGAGAAGTCCCACAATAGGACTAAACGGCCGTCCAGTGCTTTCGGGTTTCCCATGGTGGTCTGGCTTCAATTGACTCATGATCTTAACCATTGAAATATTTATTCCTTTATACTTAACTAATATGTCTCGTCAATTTGTTATAACTGGTTGTCGTCGCTAATTGTTATATCGGAATCGTTTATTACTTGTACTTGAAAAAAAAAAGAGAAACCACTGCAATTCTCACAACACGAAGTAAGAACAAGAAGACTGGTAGAAATGAAGATTTATTCACTACAAAACACGACGACAACCCTAGTCGAAGATACACTCATTATTATATATTGGTTTGTACACCTATTTTGATTATTAATTAGAATAAAATCACATAAATGAAAAAGAAATATCCAGAGCTATAACGAACGATGTCATGCTGAGCATAGTCCATGTTAATTGAATACAAGAATATTATATCTTAAACAATCATTACATTCAATTGAATTAATATTATACCGAATAAGTTATAATACTGGATAAACAAAATAAATATTATACTGAATAATCATCGAGTTCAATTTTTCTTTAAAAAGACGCCAACAATGTTGCACAAAAATCACAATAAGTAAAAGAATGCAATTTTTCTTTCTTTTTCAATTCCCTCTTATCATTAACAGTTTGCGTTACTGAATATAAATTAAATTATGAATTAAATTCAATCGATGTTGTTTACTTGTACCTTCTCATTGTTATTTAGGACTGCACAACTGATCAGTCTCTTGATGGTATATGTGCATCCTGTGCGGACTGCCTCACAATATTACCTTAGGTCACAAGCTTTATAAACAAAGATGGATAGTGACTAACAGTGAAATCCAGGACACGAGTTTCGTCCTATTTGGGACTCGTCAACTGGATGTACCTGCATCACAAAGTTTATGATCACTATGGGACTCGAACTCAGTACCGTTCGCTTCAAACTCTATCGCGTTATCCAATTAGCCACTGCTTGTGCAATGGGGTGAATTAGTTTGAATATAATATTAATTTGATTTTTCAGAGATTACCAATTTTGTCTTGGTTTTGTTATGTTAAACGAAGTAACCAAAACTTAATTTTTAAGAAAAATATTATTGTGTATAAAATGGATGAGAAAATGATCGTTAAATAGGAAACTATAATTTTTCTACTAAATAATCCTTTTATAATTATTATTAAGCGAGAAATGAACTTAGTATAATATGTATAAATATATATCGTTTTATATGATCATCGAACAAGTAGTTTCATTTTTTTAATGGTCATTATTTTTACCGATCAACTACTAAGTAGTAGCCGATTTCATTTCTGATTAGTCTCCTTTAGTACAAATCAAATTCGACAGACGAAATTTGAATTTGATCGCTAGTCTAATAGGCTTAATATCGAGTACACTATGTTTTGATTTTAAGTGGTTAGAGATAATAAGTAGGACACCTCGTCACAACGAGGTGTACTTGCAATTCGGAAGGAGATTATGATTCTTGGTGAAATTGAACTTTACATGAGATCAATTTCAGATCAAATAAATCAGTGGTAACGCTTCAGAAAGTGAAACTGATTGACATAGATCAGAATCTATCAAGAAGCATCCTTAGCAGAATGTATGACATAAAATGAAGTAAAGTCAATATGACCATATATAATATTCTAAATCAAGACAAAATCAAATAAATATTTAAAAGAATAGAATAGTTGAACTATATTTTGAAATCAACTAAGATAACAAGTCATTTTATTCATACAATAGTAATGATTATATAACTATGATTGCACTTACCAGATACTTCTCTGTTTATTCTTTGAAGATTAATACGTACAGTTAAATATCTACATAAATGATCAACTAAATTGGAGGTGAATAAGAATAACAATAAAGAAATAAACTGTAGCTAGGAAAGGATTATGTTGAAAAATGTCAAAATTAACTTATAAATTTCAGTTTTATTTCAATGAAACGGCTTAATAGTTTACTCTAGAGACTGTGTCTAATACAGGATTGGTATATCAAACAGTAATTTGCTCTTAATAAATATATGGCTGTAAAAAGCATCATAAGAAGATATGGATGATTTATTAGTGTCTGGTCAACATCTTTTCAAGATAATACTTACATCTGATAAAACCATTGAGTAGGTTTGGTTGAAGAGGTACGAGACACATCTCCAACCAATGCCAAAGCTAACGTGCTATACTAACCAGCGTAGAAGTAGACTGGGTAAAGATTACTTAAGACCAACTCATAACAAGGCATAATTCTATGACATCTGTATATGTGAATAATGTTGGGAAGTGTTAACATTTTGATTGAGGTCTATGAGGTAAAACCTTAAGTGACATAGTCTAAAATCGATAGCAGTAGGGTAGATGTAAACTTTTTTTGTATTGCGGTACACATAAACAGAACCCTACTCTTTCTCATTTATCTCAATTAATAACTTTCAGATGGATAGTCCATGAGTTGCAAATTAACAACAAAAAGAATGTAATCATTCGCGTTATAAGTTATTTATACATATTTTTATCAGAGCAAAACGTAACTAAATGTAAATTATTGATGCCTGTTTGCAATATAAGACATACAAATTCGTTTACATGGCTTGAATTCACACTATAAATGTGAAGGATAGTGATGAGATCCGGTTAACCAAATCGAATTTGGTGGAGCGGTGTACAAATCTATGATGTAGGGTCAGAAATCAAAAACTAACAACTGAGCTACCGATTACTTAGGTTTAGGTGAGCAGGTATTATTATAGTTATTATTAGTATCTCTCAATCAAGAGTATTACTCAGTATCTGTGTACATAAACCTGTACTTGACAGACAAGTTACAAATAAGACAGAAATAGTAAATTAATGAATAAAAGTTATTAAAGGTAGATACTGTAAGGTACGGCTAACCTGTAGTTATTGTCGGAGCTTTAAGATATTTGATTAAACCATTTCCTTGATCATTGTAATTACTATTAGGGTTATTATTACCATTACTACTGTTAGCATTATTGTTATTACGATGTCCTGTTGATGTAGATGGACTACATGAAGTAGATGACACCATAGCAGTGGAAGTGGTATACTGCGAAGAATAACGTGGATGTGGTTTCAATAAAACTTCAATTTCAGGAAATACGGATGGTGATAACATAGATGAAGTTGAATTATTATTATGCAGAATACTACTATTATTGTTATTGTTATTAATAATACTACGATCCATGGAACAATTGTATTGAGTATGAGGATGATTTGAATCACCAGGACCGCCAGCAGTTGTAGTGAACATAGAAGAAGTAGCTGATGTATTATTACGATAATGTAAAATTGGTAAATCGGATACAGAACTATTTTCGCCAATTGAATTTGTATCCATTCCACTTTCCGTATCGGAATTATTAGTTAATTGATGCGATGTAGATGAGACACGTCGTGTTGAACAAGCACCATTACTGATAAACTGAAGAAAAACGGAATTACCAACATGATAGAGTATCAGAAATAAAACACAGATATTAAATAGACAGTAATGTTAGGATTAAAGAAAGTTAAATTATTTTCATTATTACTATTGTAAAATAGTTATTGATACGAAATGATGGAGATTTGCAGTTCAAGGGGATACTTTTGGTGATATTCACATTGTCTAAGTTGGAGGGTTTAATCTCAAAGTTTTCAGTATCGATCTGAACAACATTAACAGCGCCTAATTCAAGTAGAAGTGAAGTAGAGCTCTGATGATATTGTTTAGAATGATAATGAAAGGTCGCAAATATACTATCCAGCATAGAAAATGAAAAACCACAAAAAAGATTTTTGATTTTCAGTTGTCTATTAGAATCCAAGTAAATCCAGCTGACGATTCTGATAAGATTTTCTAAAAAGAAAGGTGTATCCTGTAATATATTGCTAATAAGCATTAGAAGAATGAAACTCACTGTGGTAATATCGAAACACATGCGCAAAAAGCCTAAGACGTACTAAAAGCCAATCAATTTCCGTCTAGTTAATTAATAACAAGGAAACTTCACCAACTAATAACTGGTTTCGGTTATTAGTTCGCACAGACGATAATACTTAAGCAACTAAGTGAGTTTTAGACATAAGACGAAACTGAACCAGAGGAGATACCAGTCATGTTGTGTTTAGGACAATTACTAATGACATTGTAAGACGGTCAAACCACGATATACTATCAATCCATGAGGTCAATGGATGTTGGCCTGAGCTATGATGATAAGTGCAAACTATACAGTATGGATCCACATGATAATCGTGATTAATGATTAGAGCTCGTAGGGAACTTGATTTAAAATCGGTCTCAGTATCACCAGTGGCTTGGGAACTTTAACCGACTCAAGTCTGAATGATGTTCCAATCTGATCAAAACTGAATGAATCCCTTTCTAGAAAATGTTATTGCTTTTAAAAAAACCATGCTCATATTTTCCAGAATACTTTATTTTGTCCTCCTTTCAAACATTCTAACTTTATATCTACTTTACATGCCACATTATTCACTGTACCACAATCATTTTCGGAATTTTATTTATTTATTCCGTCTCCAGTAAATGACCCATTTACCCTAGTTTTCAAAAGAAAGCGAAGAAACGTTAAAGCCGTATTGGCCTACTAACAATTGTCATCAAACACTTTTACAGAATTAACGTAATTCAATCTGAATAGGCATATGATAATTAAAAGTAGCTCAGTAGTGACTTACTTCAAGATCTTCTTGAAGTTCTAGCAAAAAGTTATAACTGGTAGAGTCCAGTTATTTTGAAAACGAAACAGTTGGTACCGATAGCATTGGATTGCCATCGCATCATGTTGTAAGTTAATAAAAAATAGGAATTTTACCACTGAGCACAGACATAGTGGTTCTAATAGTTTAAACCTGAAAGCCCTATGCTCATGGGTACGCACTGCTAAGGAGCTTCATACTGAAAGGAAATATTTGTCCAGTCCTCAATTGTTTTGAATAGTACTCCAAGTGAGATCGATCTGTGATAACTACTATCTACAAATCAAACCAATCGCTACAAAGCCCCTTCAAAAAATAAAACTTACATTTGACGGTGTTTCTTCTTCACTTATTCCAGCATCTGCATGTACTTCACTTGTTCCGCTATTACCAGCATTACTATTGACTAGTGTTTGATTACGTCCAGTGTTGGTTGAATTTCGTGATCTACTGCCATTACTACTATTGGCAGTAGTATTGTTGTTGCCATTTAAGCCTAATTGTTGTTCCAGTGATCTTGTCAATGCTGCACTTAAATGTTGACGATTTAAACGTGCTAAAATCTTATCTTGATGTGCTTCATACTCCTTTTTTGATTGATGATAAAAACCAAAAAATGAAATAATTACTAATGAAATGAAACTAAAAAGACAGTTTATATATTGATTAAACCAATGAAGAGTAAAGGAAACTCTTACATTATATTAAAACACACACAAATAATTAAATAAAATTGCAAGTTCTGATAAATTCTTAACAGGTTCTACGACAGATATTAATACACTCAAATTAATGATTGAAGATGAATAGCCGATTTGAGCCAAGTACATTTTTTATTAAAGTTGTATAGTGGATAATAGTGAAATGCAGAATGTGTGTTTCCTTCGATTTAGGACTTATTGGTTGAATGTAACTACATCTCAGTGTTGACGTTCTCACAAAAACTCAAGCCCAGTGCCTTTTGCTTCAAATTTTCACTGAAAGCCACCATTAAACTTTAGCATTTCAAATATATCGTTAAAACAGCTTAATTACAATTCCGAATTTTTTGTCCATTTTTTGGAAGAAAATGTATTTTATTTGCATGGGTTTACATTTTCAGGCTGTTGATATGTTAGAGACTATAATTGATCAGTCTCTATTGGTGTACATGCATCGTTAGTGGATTACCTCGATATTGGTATTTGGTCACAAGTTTTTGTTAATCTTTTCGTTTTTAAAAAAATTACATGAAATGACACAGGCTAACTAGAGATTTGTTTACAAACACTTTGATGAAACACACTTAGTCAATCATATGAAAAAAAGAGAATATATGCGAATATGGAATGACTTTTTAGCTGTTCTACTTACAAAGAGAGTAGACAGACCTATCAAAAAGAATGTCCATCCATTTGCTCCTTCAAGATACTGGAGCCCATGTGCACCATTGGCTTGGAATCAGGGTTTCCCCACTCCCGGACATTCGCTTTTCGTCCTCTCGATTTCGTGAACAACACTCGCGCCACGAGAAGGCAGTGAGTAGGACTTCCGTGAAAGAGTCTATATACGAGTGGCCATGTGATTGCGTCTCGAGAGGGAGAGCGGACTCTCCCCACTTTCGGCCGTACCAGGGGATTTGGGGGCCTTCAGCTTAAGGCAGAGAGGATTTCCCTGACAGGTGGCATAAACGCATGGCGGTGGAAGCATTTTTAGAAAGCAGACTTTCTCTACTTTTGGCCGTACAAGAGCATGAAAGATCGTGAAAACCTTGCAGTATAATTTGGCAGAGGGTTAGTTAAGGCAATCTAGTTAACATGGACTACACAACACTATTCACCCATATTCAATAAAATATCATGTTAAAAGTAAACCCAAAAAAGTAGTCAGGCCTTAAAATCTTTAAAAATTAAAGTGTGGCCATTCAAATCAAAAATATTAAAGATTTTCACCTACGATAATCACAAATAACTGATTAAAATTTAATAAATAGATAATATTTAGGCTGAACATTACAACATGTATTATTTTTAGATCTGTATAAAAATCGTGAAACAATCGTCAAATGTTTATTTCACTCTGATATTTAAAGAGAACACACAATTAATTCCTATGTTTAGTATTATTTAGTGACAAACTACACAATTCTGAAGTCGACTACGAGTCACATTTTTTAAGTGCTAGTGATACCAGATGGTCGCGCAAACCGATATGCATGGAATATTGTTAAGAAAAACAACTTTACGAGTTAGGTGCTTTAAGCTCTAGCTTTCTACACTGATATAACCTACAATACACATACAGTAAAGAAATTATGAAAGGAATTGGAAATGAGCATTACTTGACGACTTGGATAAATTTTTGAAATTAACGCATCAAAATTTGGATCTCTTCTTAACGATCTTTTCGACACCAACTTTTTACGACATGTTGGACATTCTTTGTTACCATTACGAAGAGCGGTGATAATACATTCAGAGCAAAAACGATGTAAGCATTCTTTCGTTGTCATAGTCACTTTTAATATATCCAAACATATTGGACACATTAGTTCACTCTTTAAGCTTCGTGGACTAACAGCAATAACTGTTCCATCGGTAATAGGCTCTTGTGGTTTACGATGTAATTCATACAAAGTAAGCTCCCAATTTTTTGAAGCATTCTCAGTACTCATTCCTAAAATAATAATAATAATAATAATAATAATAATAATAATAATAATAATAATAATAATAATGACAACTAAGAGTAATATGCATGCATACAGTTTGTAATAAATAAGAAGGTATGGGATTTCGAACTCAACAGATATTTGAGCAAAGAATTGTTTTTTATAACTTCATCATCAAGCTCTACATTTACAAACCCATAATTACTGTATTACAATGGTCAAAATATGTTTTATTCGAATTATTCGTCACTTACACTTTAGCGTACTTGAGTTTAAGCAACACTAGAAGTATGAGAACTATTGATACTATTCAGTTGCGCAATTCGAAATAAGTAGAGTGGAGCCCAAACCTGTGACCTGGTGTCTGAAGGTCGGACGCTGTAACTATTGAGCTGCCGATGACATAGTCCTTATGCCCATGACATAGTTCTATTTGGTGAAGACGCTGACAAAATGCAGTCTTCTGACCACTATAAGCAACAATGCAAGCATGTTCGGAACTCGATTCTCCCCCTCGAAATGCAAAAATGGGTGACATCGACACCCCAACTAATGATAGGAAGTGAAGCAAATGAGCGTGTCAACCGCTTCCCTAGGGAGTCTCATCAGCCCTTTTGGTTTGGTGTGTGACAAAACCTCAGCACGGATACAGACAGCTCGACTAGCTTTTGCCAACTTACGTCATTTATGGTGTAGGCGAGATATCCGTCTAGCAACCAAAGGACGTGTTTACTGCGCAGCAGTTCATTCCGTCCTACTTTATGGCAGTGAAACATAGCCGGTAAGAGTAGAGGACACTCGAAGGTTACTAGTATTCGACCATAGGTGTCTTCGAAACATTGCTCGTATATCCTGGGGCCATCGAGTAAGTAACACAGTTGTTAGGAAACGAGTACTAGGTAATATTTACAGTTAGTGGTTAGGATTAAGAGTCAGATATCAGGTTTTCATCACAAACTGACATCAGCTATAATGCTAAAACTCTATTTAACCAAATGGATGAGTGAATTTTGCGCCAAAATTTAAGATCTGTTATCGTAAATCTGACTGGTTCGTCCATAAATTATAGTCTCGCCAGAAATTGTTCAAAAAATGATGCAAACTCCAAAGATTTGTGTCTAAGTATAGTGAACACTTATTTAACTTGTAAACGTCAAGATATTTAGTGTCGAGATCTCTCATAAGTTAATTAGCTTGTATCACACTGGTATTAAACATAGTTGAGAAAAGAACCACGCATTGGTATATTATATTTTAATTACCGATGAGATGATGGTGAAGGCTTGTTTCTCAGGAAAAAGGTCAAGAGATGGTGTGTTGTTTGACCTCGATGGTCTAATAATGAATATTTTACTGTCTCTCCAGGCAACATAATTAGCACATACTTTAATAAGTGAGATACTGAAACTTCTTTACAAGTGAACAACTCGTTCTGCTGAGATGGAATTTGACTGACTTTTTTATTGCTCGAATATCTTTTTTAATGCCTTCTCTAATAACGTCATCTTTGACCTTACTGGGTAACAGATCATCTATGGTGATGGCCGAGAGCGGGGTGGGTTCGCCCTCCCTCTCGAAATACTCTCACACGGCCACGCGTATACAGCCTCTGCCAGGGAAGTCCTACTCACTGCCTTCTCGTGGCGGTGGTGTTGTTTACGAAAATGAGAGGACGAAAAGCGAATGTCCGGCGCTTTAACCGGATTCCAAACCAATGGTGCACATGGGCACCAGTATCCTGCGGGAACAAATGGCATATGAACCAATTTTCGGTCACCGGCTACCATGGGACTGCATCTCCTTACGATGCTCCACTGCCTTGTGGGTTAGACCTTTAGGTCAAAGGCTCGGGGTGTGGCCCCCTAAGATAACCACCTGCTTCGGCCTGGGCACCCGGGCAGTAACGCAGCCCACACGCAATTAATGAACTGAAATTGTGTGGCGCATATATGTTTGGCGCACTCCGGTACCAATATATATGTGTTCAAATAAAATAAAATAAGATAGGAGAATTAAGCTTACTTGAGAATTTAAGGGATGTGCTATGAATCTGCTAAATATATATCTGTCGTTTATAAATAATTAAATGATCTAACAAATCCACTTACCTAATGTATTGACTCAGTTGGAATGGATTGATGATAAAAGGAATCCTGATCTCGACACAGAAAAGTTACTTGTCTTTTCCAAACTTGAATGAATTTAGACTCAGGTAGTTATCTAAAAGCTCATTTAAAGTATGATATTTATTACAGCTGTCCTTCTCATGGTACTAGGACTGTTGGGAATAGAAAAAGCAAAAATACTATTAGTACTGCATAATCAGCCATCGAAGTATGGTCAGTGTGTGTGAGAATAACAGGTACTAATGAGATTATGCACCGGAATGACCTTTGGGGTAGAAATAGAATATAAGCGGCATTATAGTGGACAAATCGGTTCATTACGCTATTTTGCAAAGTCGATGTGGTAAACTAAATTGTGGAAAATTCCAAGTCTTCTGGCTATTGCTTTTGGAATATCGGAATAGAGAATTTTCCGACAATAAGTTATTACGCAGAACCTGAAACAGACTAATGCGTAACATCATTCTAAATTACAACGAGCATTTTTTAAACTGGAAATCTTGGAAAGTGACGTATTTTGGATGCCCTTCATTAAAAAAACGGTCGAGATATATGAAGTAAATGGTATATCCTGGATACTCATTCAAAGATTTTCAACTTCATGAACAATAACTAGAAGTACCTTATTAAAGCTTAAGGAAAATTGCATCTGTCAAAATCCAAAGCATGAGGAATTATTAGGAAAGACATATGGGTATATCATCATTCATAAAAAGTGACTTAGCCAAATGTCAGAAGTATAGCTGAAAACTTGTTACTGTTTGGAACGGCAGATGCCTATGCAGTTTAATGGACCGATCCAGTGTGTCAAATGCGAGTTATATTACCGATGACGAAAGGTAACTACAAGTTATTAGATAGTCCAGGATCAAACAACTCGATGCATCACTTACCTCTTTATACATGTAGCATTGTATTCGGTGAGTTCAACCATGAGATGTGGCTCAGAATCAGTCATAGTGGAAGAGGTACATTCACTTTATTTTTTCCCGAGTATTTAGCTTTAAAGCTACTTCTTACATTTTATTCCTCAAACTCACCTCTTACGAACTCCATTGACCAATGTTTATTCTTTTACGCTGTTATTGCTACTAATATTCTTGCTCTCTTAAAATTCTCGATAATGTTAATGTGGTATAAGAACTCAGCTTGACGGATATTTATTTATTCGAAAACATAAATATTGGTACGAAGGGGCACGGAATACATATGCGCTACACAGGTCACTTGATTCGTGTGTGAGCTGTGATACTGCCTGGGTTCCCAGGCCGAAACAGGTGGTTCCCTTAGGGGGCCACCCCAAGGCCTTGACTTGAAGGTCTGGCAGATATTTGCGTAGGGTTTTATGACTGACCGACCGTAACTAGTTCATGAATGCAGATTACTTTAATATCGAACTGCAGAATGCTGATAAGTTGAGGCTAGAAACTTTGTCATTAATACCCAACGTTCCCGCATATACCGCTCTGCCTACTCTAATTTTGATAGCCTATCAGTCAATCAGCTACAACGTTGGACCAGGCATATATATGCATCGGTCCAAGTAGCAAAACGTTATCTCGTTTTGTTAATTTATTTCATGGTGTGCCCAGAAGTAAATGCTACTATAAAAACAACAAAACCCATGAAAAACACACTTGTAGCGCAAAATACGTATGAACCGCAACACTCCAAATGAAATGTTCAAATGGTTCAAATGGTTGTGGACGGAATAGAAGAAGCTTACGCTTAAAGGGCTTCCGTGTCTAGCAGTAGTAGACCACCAATACATCCAAAGGAAACCTAGGTATACTAATTATAACAGAGGAAAAAGAAATTGGTAAACCATGGTAAGATATTATCCTTAGTCTTTAGGAATATGTCAAGTTGCCTCCTAAAGGACTTCTGCGAAATTGCTTGGACTAGACCAGCCGGCAGAGTAGAAGTTGTGTCTACAGTCCTTTCAGATGTGTTGAGTTTCTACTTTCTGGATGTTACCCCTTAATTTTGTGTTTGAGCTAAACTTAAGTAGGTGTTTAAAGGGATGTCCAGAAGTGTCAAGGATATTGTAAGTCATTAAAAGGTTACCTCTAAGGCACCTATAGCTTAATGAGTAAAGATTTACCGATTAGAGGCGCTCTTCCTAAGGCTTGAATTTGAGTCCGCGGACTGATTTCGTGGTTCACCTTTGGTTACGCTCCAGAGTGTCCTTATCCTTTTGGAGTGGGGTACGAAATACTATGTTTCCGTACTCTAAATGGGGACGGATAAAACTAATGATTATATGGAAAGTTCTTCCGTCAAACTGTCCAAAAATGCGCTTCAATGTTACCAGTGCAAGGTTGGCTCGAAAGGCATTTTTGTCACAGTTAGTGTAAGACTTCAAATCGCAGAGTACCAGCACTCCTAAATATTTTTCGATTTGGGATACTTCTAGAGAGGAGTTTCTTAAGTTGTAACTGTAGTCTGCAACATGTCTCAAATGTACTACCTTACACTTTGAAGTATTAAGGGCAAGTCCGTTCGAGTCAGATCCTCTTGAAGTGCCAGTGTGTCCTCTCGGTTGCATATCACTCCAAAGTTCCACATCATCACTAAAAAGTAATATGTCAGACAATACCTGTTGTGGAAGATCGTTTATATAAATCAAGAGAAGAAGTCCTAGTACTGAACCCTGTGGCGACCCCACTTGGACATTGCATAGCCTAAGAGAAAGTGTAGTCAACCCTGACTCTAAAATGTCGATTTTTAAATATAAAACGTTTTTAAGAAGTTAAGGTAAATGACGTCAAACTTCACCTTGCGATGAAGGATGGTTGTGCATCTGTCCATTGCAGTCACCAGATTGGTTATGCAAGAATGACTCTTCCAAAAATCATGCTGTTGGGGTGAAAGGAAGTTTAAGGATAATTAGTAGTCGTGCTTATCGTCGCATATCAGTGACTCCATGATTTTTGGAGGTATAGAGAGAAGAGCCATCAGTCGGTAGCTTGAATGTTCGCTGCGTCGACCTCCTTTGAAAATTGGTGTGATGTGAGCCCGCTTCCAGATTTTCGGTAGTTGTCCTCGGCTTAGCGCGTGTGAGAACATCACGCTAAGCGGTGTTGTCAAGATTGGGGCTGCTTCCATCAGTATAGCAGCATGAACCATATACTGACCAGGAGAAGTGACTTTTGTTAAGCGCAGCAGTTTCCGGTACACCAAGTCAGCGCTCAGGTTCACTTCGGAAAGTCCTGTGCAGTTGCAAATGGAGCTTTCATCAATATAGCTGATGTGTGTTGGTTGAAATGTCCGAGAGTATTGTTCAGTCAAAAGGTTAGCGGCATCGCCGTCGTTATTGGCTAGGCCATTAGGACCTAGTAGTTGAGAAACTCTTGTTTTGGCCTGTCGAAGAGAGGTTGCATAACGGAATAAGCTTTTCTCATTGGAGACAAATTAATCGATAAGCTTTTAATGTTACTGAGGCTTGTCTTCTCTTTTCGCCTTGGTGCATATGTCTGTATTGTCTGTACTCGCCGTTGTTATCAGTTCGTTTGTATTCTGTCTAATAGTGCCTTTTGCGACTTAGCAAACGAAAAGTGCGGTTCTTGAGGAAAGTAGGTTGCTTGTAGATTTTGGGACCATTTGAAGAACAGACTGCTCGATGTCAACAGTGGGCTTCCTGTAAATGACTCCAGCTAGACAACTCGAGGTGGTAGACAGCCTTACTGAGAACCATATGTATTCATCAAGCATGATAAACTATTGGTTGTGCACTTGATGTGCCTCTAGGCAGTTACCCCCCAATTCCTGTTTTTCTGGCATTGCGAAGCAAAGACATCCTAGCTAGCTCCTCTTCCGTAAACTGAGAAGACATCCAAGTTTCAGATAGTTCTATCACATGAACATTAGTAACATTGTTAAGATCACGTAACTCATCCGTTTCATTTGGTAAACTCGCGGCGTTCATGTGCAGGCAATTTATGCTTTCATTTTGGAACATGTGCGCTTCTCATCCCTGTTTGTCTGTATGAGCCTTACTTGAATGGGCAGGTAGCCTACCTATACAAGGTTTGCCGAGTTGATAGCCCCTATCCTTTACACGTTTTCTTATGATCAAGACAGTTCAGAAGTAAGAGTGGTCAGCTCCAACTTGCATTTGTGCTTGATCTTGGCGTCATGTGGTCTATCCGGATGCATATGGATTCTAGTCGGCAACCGACGTCTGTTGGCAAGGAATGCTTTCAGAGTTGCAGAGTTGCAGGATGGGGAATTTATCCTCACTAACCTGGGTCTAGAATCTCCGTCCTTCTTGGCTAATCCCATCACTTGTTGAGTCAGTATGTCTTTAAGCTTCAAGGATTGTTCGATGAATTTCCATTCACTAATATCAGAGTTTGTGTGAACAGGGTTCGTGTTTTCCGGTACACCTTGCACAATTATATTTCTTCTGCGAGATTCTTTAAGGATGTTCTCGATAAGATTGCGCTCAGAATACGGTATGTCATGTAGTATTCTTACGTTCCCATAAGATTTCAGTAAATGACTAGCTAGTAGGATATCCTCTAAGTCGGTGGCATTGGTAAGTGCTACACGAAGTAGCCTCGGGTGATTTTGATGCCTAGAGTCCTTTCCCCGAGTGAGCCGTGTAACCGTCAGAGGCTCTGTTCTGGGAGGCTTCTTGTTTAACTCTCCTCAGAGAATCCCGTCATTTTTATCCTGGAAACTGGAGAGGAAATCGGGGCTGTCGTTAAGGTTCATGATTATGAGAGAATCGTCACGAACCTTTATTGTTTTCCCAGGTTTTCCGGGGCGTTCAGGTTCAAGACCTTGCTGTTTGGAGGTCGAAGTGCGCTTCCGATTCCTAGGCTCTTTGACGAGCGGACGAACATTCCTGGGGGTAGACTTGGCGACCAAGTCGCCCGTTCATTTCCCTACAGTACTTAGGATTTTCAGCTTCTTAGACGCTGACAACTGGTCCTTTTTAATTTTGGTAACGGGAATCCAATCACATACAGAGTTCTTGGGAACCACCGTTGCATTTGGGGACCCTGTGTTCGGAGGACCAAGTCTGCTGAGGGAGTCTATTAACGTCGATGTTATGATGGCGCTGAGTTTTAGCATGTTACCACTAGTGTTATTACATGCCCCATCGATAGTAGCGCTGTCGAGATCCCTCTTCTTGTTTTCATTGCGCGCTCTCATTTGTCTACCCGTTTTATGACTGTCTTTTTCCAAGTTTGCTGACAACTTATCCCTGTGCAATGGTGTTACTCAGCAAAACTTCAGCATCCGTGTTGCACATCACACATACTCACCTATAATCCGACTTACTGAGTCGGTTGTAAGCAGTTGCTGTGTGATCTGTGCACACTTCGTGGCCTTTGCAGTTTTTACACTGTATGCCAGATGTAACAGCAAAACGGCGTTCATGTTGTTTGTATGAATTTTTCACGATTATAACGACGTGAACTGTTTTATAGATGCTATCAAAAGACTAAGACCGTAAAAAAGCAGTAAACTAAAAACAGGCTAAAATTGATAAAAACGGATTACGATGAAATGAAACTAGCCTTTGCGTGAAAAAACTAAAAAAGGAATACTGAGCTGAGGCAAAACCACAGTTATCTATTAAATTGGGTGAAACTTAAAAATGTAATTTACCGAACGTATGGCTCAGAATAGATTCTCTAGATCAGAAGTCGTACTATTGTTGCGTAAGAACACAACGAAAGTTTGGGAAGTTCAAATCACATTAGGACTAAACTTCCCATTCGAAAAGCGTCCGCGTAAGTTATGTTCTTGGTTGTCAGCCTCTAGTTGTAAGGATGATAAGTCAGCCAATCTATATTAATCCTTATAATTCTCAGTCCCGTAAAGATCCAATCATACTTTAAATGTACTAACAGATATTGACCGCTTTAGTGGAGAATTCAAAGAATTCACTACTCCATGACGAAGCCACGTAACTCTAGATGTAAACGTCTTTATCTCGGTTTTTGAAATATATTATCAGACAATCAGTTCTAGGAGGAAGGAAAAGATAAGACATAATAACACCAAGATCATCTATCCGTTTACGGTAAGTCTACAGACAA